CGCCTTAATAGTATGGCAAGCGGCGCTTGCAAGAAGTTGGTCCTAGGCAAATTGATGTATTTCTCGAAAATGGAGCTGAAAAGGTGAAAGATGGAAAAAAGATGAAAAGTTCAAAAAGTTCGGATTTGCTGTGTACAGCGCTATCTGCTGGTATGGATTTAAGATAGCCTAAGCTATCTGAAAAAATATACGTGAAAAAATCTCCAAGAATAATGGTTGGTGGACAGTTTTGCGACGAGCTAAATCAGTCGCCAACCTTCGATTGAACAGAAATTAGTTACTGGATCGTTGGTAAGAGTATCGTCACAGTAGCAGGGACAGATATACGTTGTCCGAGCGGATTGACTCTTGACCGCTCCTTCAAATGAAGAAAAAATGTACTCTCAAACGCAGGTATTTCAGGGCTATTTATCATGGAGGCGATTTTTCGTGTTCATATCGCTCTGCCTAAATGGATTCGGCTTTTGTTCAATGCGCTTTCACTTATGAGGTATTTCCTGCAAGTTTTCCAGTATTGCACTGAAGTTATACATAGATTTTGACACTAAATGCAAAAATGGCTTGCAGTAGCAGCTACAAATGCTTACTTAGTAGTTGCCAGACACCACTACGATTGCGCTACTCTTTCATATTTCTGTAAGCACCGCTATCCTTTCGCACCGTTGAGAACAATTAGTCTCCTGCGTCATCCTTCATATAAACCTATCTTGGAATCAACTTCTGATGAGTGCTGGTCCGCGTGCAATGAATTTCGTGACACAAAGACGGACTTAGCGCTTTATATATAGTAGGGATACTCCAAACATTGCTTAATTTTTATTTCATGTTCCTGTCCTTTTTTCATATTTTACCTTCCTTTTCACAATTTCCCCCTCCCCCTGCCTAAGAGCTCTCTGTTTCAGCGACCCATCACACCACAAATAGAGGAGCGCGACATGAGCCGCAATGTTAGTGTTGCCGCATTGCGGCGCTCTCCTCTGTCAGGGGGGGGGGGGGAGAGAAAGAGAAGAGCTCACCGGCGGCGCGGACGCGAGCGCATGCCAGTGACGTCACAGCTGCGGCAAGTGCGAAGAGGGGACAGGGAGGACAGCGTGACTGGCACTTCGCTTGGATGGAAGACGGGTTGTGGAATCTACCACTGCAATTAGTAGTCCCGGGAGCGAAATCTTGTAATGCGTATAGGGGCAACTCTCGCGCTCGGAGATTAGGGATTTTTTGGTCACCTCGAAAATTATTTCAATGAGTCCATTCTCCGTCGTTACTTCTACTCGATACACAGTGAAGTTAAAGTGCGATAGAGTACATAATACGTATTTATTGAAGTATTGGTGCCTGTCCTTGCTCGATCTCTCACGTAAAAGTGACGTCGCCCGCACGCGCTCGCGTCCGCGCCGCTGGTGAGTCATTCCATGAAGCCTTCTCGCAGCGCCAACGTGGTGGCCGACAGCGGAAGGCTACGCTTGCGGACGATGGTATGGATGAAGATTGAACAAACTATACAGTGCCTTGTCGCGCACTTGCAAGCCGCAAATGTCCTCCTGTCTACTAAGAACAAAGATGCTTCTTAATCCCGGTGTTGCGACATCTAATCCTTTCGCTCCTCTGCATCTCCTCATGAGACAACACCAGACATTAATGCTCAATTTTGCAACCCTTTGGGACATAGGACAGTCAATTTGCTCCTGGTCCTTTACAATGCCGTTGAAATAATTTTCAAGTGACCAAAAAATCCTTATCTCCGGGCGCGAGAGTTGCCCCTGATAGCATTACAAGATTTCGGGCAGGGACTGCTAATTGCAGTGTTAGATTCCACACAGTTTCATCCAAGCGACAGTTTCCTAGTCCCGCTGTCCGCCCTGTCCCCTCTTCGCCCTTGCCGCAGCTGTGACGTCACTGGCATGCGCTCGCGTCCGCGCCGCAGGTGAGCTCTTCTCTTTCTCTCTCTCCCCCCCCCCCCTGACAGAGGAGAGCGCCGCAATTGCCCCCAGGCAACACTACGGCAAGTTGCGGTATGTCGCGCTCTATATTTGGAGTAGCGATGGGTGCATTGAACGGATCTTACCAGGGAGGTCTTCCAGGAAATGCCAAGCTTTTTCAAAACGGTTTTTTGCATGATATAGGGACACATGCATGAAACACCAAGCTGTAGTTCATTTTTCCTGAGCGGCCCTCTGAATACCAAAAAAGGAGCGAAGAAAAAATTCTTAAGAAACTGCCGTTCTAACCGCTTTTTTGTGACGTACATCGCACACAGCGTTGACCAGTGTCATATCAAAAGGTTCTCATGAATGGTACATTGAGAACAGTGCGGAATTCGGTCAAAAATAAAACGATCTCCTTAGCATGTATTGAAACTATTGTGGAATATTCATCAGCGCCTTCTGAAGCTAGGCTGTCAGCGGTAGTCGGGTGGCCTAGTGGTTAGTGGTGCGGTCGTCTGTGAATCGGAAGTGGAAGGGGCGTTGTTGATGGTTCGACTCCCCACAGTGCCAAAGTTTTGCTTTTTCTCTGTTGTCCTTTTGTCACTTCTGTGATCGTGCACTCCTGCGCATGCATATAATGCGGATTTTATGTTCGTTTTGAGATCCTACGACTGCGAATTCGTATTGGTCTCTCACGAACTTGTGTGTGCATCGATATAAATTTTATAATTCATAAACAAATTGCCCCCGGAAGGCTTGGAGAAGGGCTAACGTGGAATAGGAGGGGTCCGTTCTAGAAATTACCACGGAAACCGAGGTTCTCCCTCGCAGGGCAAGTCTCACACAACTTTGCGTTTTTCGCAGCTGACCTAGCCATCGGCAGTAGACCCAGCCAGAATTATGACCAGAAGTCCATCCTGCCAGTGTTTGACAAGGAGGAGAACTAATGACATAGTCATTGCTGTTTTCTCACCCATTGCTTGAGTGTCTACCATTGTCTATCACGGGATAGGATCTCTCATTCCTTAAAGGAATCTTGCGCGGAAAATTCT